TAACATAAACGAACTCTAAAGAATTTTGTCGATATCACGTGATCGAAAAAAAATTGGTGGCGATGCTGGGGAAGATGGACGTTTCTTATCCTAACACGTGATTTGTATCACTTGCAGGAATAAGTAAATCCGTATCGCACTATGCGATGCCTAATTAAGTTCTATATATTATATTTATATGTATAATGACAATTTCTATTTGTACACTGTGTATATACACGAATATGTTAATATTTCAAATCCTTATTATAAAACACTTTTGGAGTTTAACAAAAAATATTCCAAAATTTTAGTATAAACCCTAACCATTTCTAACCCTAAAGCTAATCTTACCCTAGGTTAATTAATTTAGCTGAATTCAACAATTTTATTTTTTAAACATCGTCAAAATTCTTGGCTCTTTTTCAATTGTCTCGAAATAGTCCCGGGTGTTATTTCGCGCAAATATGGTAAAGTGTGATTTCGCTTTAACCATGCGAGCACACCAGAGATAAATTCTATGTAAAATTTTTAAGGGTGAAAAAAAAGGTCGTGAAACTTTATTAATCAGTTTGATAATGAGAATAATAGCCATCAGCAGATTCAATTTGATTGGCAGAATCAAAATTGGGATGTGTATTTCTTATTCAGACTAGTCACAATTTACCATCACAACCAAAAAAACATTAGTTGTTATTAGTTGCTACTTCGCCTTCCACAACCCTTTTTTCACAGTGGTGGGCTCCGAATCAACGTCCCCACACACCACCAGTTCGCCCCCACTCTTCATTTCAGTGGACGACCCAACGTTGCCACCACCTACTGTCCAAGGAAACTCGCAGATTTAACTAGAGTTTTAACGACCCTGCAGTATACCTGAGACGGAGGTCAAGTGGCTCAATACTTTTTACATATCGGAGATCTAGCCTGATCGATTTTAGCTGAACTTTGGCAAAATTCAAATAACAATAATAATAAAATAATAAACGAAGATACAGTTATTGCCAACTTGCCGGTATTATTACAAATTTTAAAATAAATTTTAGGAATATTACAACTAGATTATCGAGACGAGCTTATCTGATTTGTTGTTGAAGAACATTAAATTAATAATGAGCACACAGAAGGATACTTCCGCGCCCGCTAGCACGGAGGCGACAAGTAAGCAAAATGACATCAGCACTAGCACAACTTCAACTGGGAACGAAATAAAAGATAATCATGTTGACAAAAAAGATCATGGAAAGTCTACTGTAACTACAGAATATACTTCTAGCACAAGTTCCAACGCTGTGTCTTCTTTACCTGTGTCTCCAACGCCAAACTTTTATTATGCCAATGGTTACGCTGACCCACAAACTATCGCTGCCGGTGAATATCAAGCTGCCATGGCTGCAGGATACGATCCTAGCGATCCAAACGTTTTCTCGGCCTATGGCCATTATGGGATGCATCCATCATATTCTCAATATTATCCCGCAGACTATGGGACTGGGTTTCCTGGAACACCGCCTCTTCAAGGGCAGACATCACCATCTCTTGCACCACAACCTTTGAGTCCTTACTTTACTGCCACTAGTCCACCGATTGCTTATTATCCCACATCACCTCAAGTCGGCCCGACTGGGATTATCCACTCACCTCCTATGCATCCGTATTTATATTCACCACAATCTCCCTATGGTGTACTTCATACGCTCTCGCCTACTCTCTCACAATCATCCTCATCTGCTCCTAATTCTCCGCCCCCACAATATTTACCTGGTCCTGGTGTCCCTTCACCTAAAGCTGGCCCTTTAAATGGCAATGGTCGTGGTAGTGTCAACCGCCCCCCTCACTATAATTATGACAGAAGAAATTCTGGTTCCAATCAGATACCTACTCTTCCCAATTTTAATAATCCGACAAAAACTACTAATATTTATATTCGTGGTTTACCACCTACTACAACTGACGAATCTTTGCACAAGATGTGTTCGATGTGAGTGCTTTATTTTTTAGAATCAGAAAAATACATTCTTGTTATAAACTAAATCGAAGACATAATTCATGACAAATATATAAAAAGGGATATTATATAAATAGTTTTTAATAACTTTATTTTGTGAAACAAATTTATTTAATGAAATTGCTATAATTACCACATTGGATGTTTTTAAGATATCACCTCACAGATAGAAATCTATGGATAATAATAGTTCTTAATATTTTTTTATTTTTTAAAACTACCATTAAAAGATACGGTGCTATTACTTCATCGAAGGCTATTATAGATCAAAAACAAGGCGACTGTAAAGGTTACGGTTTTGTTATGTATGAATCTGAAGATCAAGCCAAACATGCCATTGAACAATTGACGCGATTGGGATTGCAAGTTTCCTTCGCCAAGGTTGGTTATGTGAGTGTAACACGCATGTTTGTGATTTTTTCATTAAAATTTATGTTTGGCGTGCATTACTATATTTTGTTTCATCAAATAATTGTCCAAATATTATTGGAAATCTTAAAAAAATTAAATAGGAATCATTCAGCACTCGATTGAAGAACCTTCAGGATTTAGCTTCTACAAACATATATTTGTCCAATTTACCATTGGATATGAATGAACAAGTGAGCATTGAAACACGTTTGGGAGGAGAGTCAGTAGAAAATGGACAATTTTTTTTGAAATTAAAATGTTCAGCAACTATCAAAACCAAATGTGGTAAAAATTGGTTATTCGAATTCTAATCATGTAGAATTAAAATAAAAAATTTTTATAAAATTTGGTTTGATAATTATTGAGATATTTAATTTATAAAGTCTAGAAAATTTTATTTAGGAAAAATTGTCCATTTGCTACTAACTTTTCCCATTTACTCTTTAATAAATATAGACTTCTGAAATTTTTTAATTTTTTGTAGCAATTGGAAGAAATATTCAAGCCTTATAAAGTTGTATCTAACAGAATCCTCAGAGATGCTAGCGGAACAAGTCGTGGAGTTGGATTTGCTAGGTATTTTATTTTATTTTATTTTATTTGCATTTTTTGACTACAGAACCTGCTGAATTATGCCACACAAGTTTTAGTCAGTCCTGTATGTTACCTGGAATGCTTTACAAAGCATTTACGATATTTAAACAGACAGCATGCTAAGTATTATCCTTCATCGTATTGTAGAATGGCATTTTAAAAGATTTGTTAAATATGCTAAAAAAAGTTCCTATCATATAATTTAATGGATTATGGCATAATAAAATAAATATATACTATATCCCCAATTACTTTTAATAGTACCTTGTCTCTAATAATAATATTATAATGGTCTTTGCTATTAATATTTAGAATGGAAGACCGCGATTCTGCTTTGGCCATAATTCAAAAGTTTAATGGTTATCAACTTCCTGGAGCCAATTTACCTCTGCAAGTTCGATTTGCCGATTCTTTGGCACAGAAAAAGTTAAAAGGACAGACTGCTAAGAGGCGCATGTGGAGAACTAGAGAATTCCCATCTTTGGGAGGCGTGAGTATTTCATACAATTATTTTATTTATGTGTTTTAAATAATTATCGAGCAACTTGCATAAATAGAGTATTTATCAATAATTTCTTCTTCACAGAGAATCATTCCACAAGTTCCTGTTACTCCGGAGCATATGTTGGGTATGGCAACACCTGGCTCTCCACCAGGTCATGGGGCTTATCTTCAATATTATTCTGAAGGAGTTCAACCTCCAGGGTATGCATTAACATTGCGTTCATTCATTGAAATAGTTTGATTTATGACCTATGGTTTAATCATATCATTGAATTTTTTAGAGCCTATCCTGCTGGCTCAATTTCTCCTCCATTCGGCCCTCAATATGTTCCGCGGTATTATCAACCGCTTTATTCGGGACCAATTTTACACCATGGAATGGAAGGTCAAATAGTGGCTACTGATACATCAGCACCGAATCCGCCTGAGACCTTAACTAATGACGTTCCTCTGATAGTCACTAGTGATCCCACTGAGGAGTTGAGTGAGTTGGTTAAAACGAAGCTGAATGTTGATGGCGGTGAGAATGATAGTGGAGCTGAAGGAGGAGATACAAAATCATAAATATAATATTTTGAACAGTTCATATATGTATACAATTTTCAATGCATACGCCGGCATTTTCGATAGGTGAGATATATGATGAATTTGAACATCTCTTGATTTATTTTCGTTTAACCTATCACTAACGAATGTTTTAATGATCAAGTGCATATTACTTCAATAATATTTTTTTTCCTTCATTTAGAGTTGTGTCGGCAATATTTTTACTTGAACATTTTACTTTATTTTATTATCTTATTTTATTTTTTTTTTTTATATTTCCTGTATCTTTTTTTTTTTTTTTTGGTTTATTTTTTATGAGTTGATCGTTGTTAGTAGGGTTGAGACCTAAACCTTTTTTTTGAATTATGATATTATTACATAGTTTGGGTTTGGGAATCAGGACTTCTGCTTAATTTGGGTTCATAACTAAAATCAAAATATGTATCCCATTTTCGATCAATAATTCAAACTTAAAAATCAATCAACTTTGTTTAAATTAATGATAATAAAAATACGATATATGCGCATTTAAAATCAAACCTAACTAGGAACGGACTTAGGTTGAATAGACATTCATATATTATTAAAACAAAAGGACAAATGATTATTAATTTGATTGGCTTAGTAAGCCCCATATAATATAGGCTTTGCAATAGAGATTCAAGATATTATATGGTCCAATAATATGATAGGCATATAAGTCAGGTAAATTAGTAATGCAGATGTTATTAGCTTTTGAATTAGTAATAATAATACGACAGGGTGAAACCTGAGTTGCGAAATAGTGAAATCCGCTATGATCATCACACAAGGGTGAAATCCGCTT